CCCAGACCGGATCCATTGTCAGGGTCTCCAAGGCTTGGTGTTCCCAAATATTTTGTGGAACTGAGGAGAGGAAATTCCCTAAAGAGCCCAATCCCTGAGGAGCAGGATAATGAGGATAATGAACCCATTCCTAATGAAATCTCAGGGAATTCCCATGCAGGGGAAATCCAGGGAAATCCAGATTTCCTAAGCTCATTGTTCATCCATCAGATCCTGAGTTCCCTTCCCACAGCTCCTTCTTATCCTGCTTCTTCTCCCTCCCATTCCCAAGGAATCCCTGGAAGATTCTCCCAAGGGAGGATCTGATCCCAAGCTCGAAAACCTTTGGAAAACACCGGCCCAGACCGGATCCATTGTCAGGGTTTCCAAGGCTTGGTGTCCCAAAAACTCTGTGAGGAAATTCCCTAAAAAGCCCAATCCCTGAGGAGCAGGAAAATGAGGATAACGAGCTCATTCCTAATGAAATCTCAGAGAATTCCCGAGCAGGGGAAATCCAGGGAAATCCAGATTTCCTGAGCTCATTGTTCATCCATCAGATCCTGAGATCCCTTCCCACAGCTCCTCCTCATCCTCCTTCTCCCTCCCATTCCCATGGAATCCCTGGAAGATTCTCCCAAGGGAGGATCTGATCCCAAGCTCGAAAACCTTTGGAAAACACCGGCCCAGAGCAGATCCATTGTCGGGGTCTCCAAGGCTTGGTGTTCCTAAATATTTTGTGGAACTTCATGAGGAAATTCCCTAAAGAGCCCAATCCCTGAGGAACAGGAAAATGAGGATAACGAGCTCAATCCTAATGAAATCTCAGAGGATTCCCATGCAGGGGAAATCCAGGGAAATCCAGATTTTCCGAGCTCATTGTTCATCCATCAGATCCTGAGATCCCTTCCCACAGCTCCTTCTTATCCTGCTTCTCCCTCCCATTCCCAGGGAATTCCAGGAGACAAGGAAGAATCCATGGGTTTGCAGCTTCCCATTAAGATTTTTGCCTGAGGGAGAGTTAATTTAAGGAATAAAATGTTGAATTTCTCCTCTCCCTGTTTTTTTTGGGAATGTGTCTCCACAGGGGGAACCTGGACTGCCTGGAATTCCTGGAAGTGTGGTGAGTTCCACCCATTTCTGCTGATTTTTGGATCTCAGCCCCATTTTTGGGGATTTTTTTGTCTATTTGATCTCTTGTCTCTTGTTTATCCCATTCCACCTGAGCTCTGGAATATTTGGGAGCGGGACATGAAGAATCCAAGCACCTCTTGTTCCCTGAAAAACTGGGAAGAGCTTTTTGTTCCAGGGTTTTTTTGTCTATTTGGGCTCCTGTTC